ACACACACACACACACACACACACACACACACACACACACACACACCCCTCTGCTGGCTGATGTTAGCGAACACCTTTAATTCCAGCCCTCTGGAGACAGAGGCAGAATTCTATGAGTTTGAGGACAGCCTCATCTACAGAGTGAGTCCCAGGACAGCCAGGGCTACACAGAGAAACCCTGTCTCCAAAACAAAACAAAACAAAACAAAATTTAAAAAGAATAATAATGGAAAAAAAGCCTCTTTAATCCTAGCCCTTAGGAGTCAGAAACAGTCAGATTTCTGTGAGTTCAAGGCTAGCCTGGTCTACAGAAAGAGTTCCAGGACAGCCACGATTACAAAAGAATAAAAAAATAAACCCTTGAGACATTGTTTACAATTTTTTACTTTTTATTTAACACATGAGCGTTTGCTTGTGTGTTTGTGAATACACCATATGCATGCAGTGCCCACAGAGGCAGAATAGGGTGTGAGGTAGCCTGGCACCAGAATTACAGAGGGCTGGAAGATACCGTGTGGGTGCTGGGAACTGCTCGCGGGTCCTCTGAAAGACGAGCACGTGCTCTTAGCTGATGAGCCATCTCTCCAGCCCCAGTTCTTCACTCTGCCTGTGAGCTCCATGGACACCCAGGCCTTTACCCCTCTTACAGCCCCTCCTGGCCCATTTTCCCCAGGAGGTGGGGAGGCAGACCAGTTTCTGGCTGTCCGGCCTGGGGCTCAGATACCCAGAGCCTGCAGGCCCCGGCTGAGGCTGTCTCTGTTCCTCCACAGGGTCCCTGGGTGTCCACCAAGCCTCTGCTCAGACCCTGAACGAGACCCAGCGGGTGCTAGAAAGCTTGAAGCTGCAGCTGGGTTCCCATGGGGCCCTGCATCGCAAACTGAGGAGGCTGGAGGAAGAGTCTGCCCGGCAGGAGCTGCAGATCCAGAGCTTCGAGAGCGACCTGGCCGAGATCCGAGCTGACAAGCACAACCTGGAGACTATCCTGAGCAGCCTACCTGAGCACTGTGCCAGCTAGGCCCTGGCACGCTCTCCCCGCTCCCCACAGGGGTCCCAGGTCTGCCTGTTGTGAGCTCCTGTGAATGCCCTCACTTGTTTGCTAGTGTATCTAGACTCTTCGGTCTGAGCAGCAGGAGTGAATACATGTGGCTCCCCGGGTGGCCTTGTGTGTAGCTCTCAGTCTGTGCTCCTTGCACACGCATCGGCATCCACACCCCAGTGTAAGAGGCATGTCTGCGTTTGCACAGATGTGGGCGTGTGCATGCGTAATGCACTTGTATGTTCAAGATCACCTTGTGCATACACACACATGACAGTCTTGAGCTGTCAAGAGGCAGCCCTGAGCCTGGACACACTCAACATCCCGAGTGAGTCCTGTTATGACAAATTCTCTTTGGGGCTGACATATCTACAATCCGCCCTCCAGAAAGCAGGGCCCAAACAGGGGTGGTACCCTCTGAGGCCGAGAGGTTATCCACAGAGATCCTGAGAAGACTCAGAAAGTCCCGCACCCGTGGTCACAGAGCTGGCCCCGGGCCCGCTGTGCTCCCCCAGGCCCCATTGCTCCCTCAACAGCTCCAAGAACTGAGGTGCCAGGCAGATCGAGAAATGCCAAGATTGTAACAGGATTCTCAGAAGTAGCATCTAAGGTCACAGTGTGGTCAGGGAGGCCCACAGGCCAACGCACAGACGTCATTGTCTTTTGTGAACACTTCCCTCCAGGGATCGGATCTGCAGCTGTCTCACTGAGGGAAGTACCTGACCCATCCTCTCCTTCAATCCCCTGATCTACCTGAAGAACCTGGTTCTTCAGGGTGTGGGTCACGAGGCCTCACACAGGCACCGGAAATAGCCCTTTGTGCCCTGCTGACCTGGTTATCCTTTGATTGACATTTCTCAGACTGGCCCTCTGAGCCCCACCTGCCGTGAAGTATGCCACAGGGATGGGGAAGCCAGGCTGTCATTCTAGGCCAGCTGCCCATGGCTGCCTCTTCCCAGAAACCCCTGGCATTTCTTCCTGATGTTCCCCCTCTTTCTTGGAGCTCTTTTAGCACGCACAGCAGGGCCGAGGCCCTGGGGTAACAGCCACCTTTGCAAGCCCTGTCCGTTCCCCGAACTGATGGCGATGTGGACCGATTCTGATTATGAAGAAATAAAGGGCCCTTTTCCGAGCCGTGTGCTGCGTTTTTGATCCTCTGGGGCTGGTGTGGCAGCCAGGGCCTGCTGTGGGCATACACAGAGCGTGTCTTGTGGCTGGCCCAGAAAGTAGGAAGAGCCTACATTTGCAGTCCCACAAGCGGGAAGGAAGTTGGCAGAACTGGGCTCAAGGCATGCCAGGATCTGTCAGGGTGGGCTTTGCAGAGGCTCTGTGGCCACCACCTTTCCTCTCAGATCTCAGATTTCAGACAAAGATGAGGGGCCTGGATAGAGATGGTGTGCAAAGAGGTCCTCAGCTGATCCCTGGTTCAGGGTGGAGATGCTGAGGCAGAAAGCTGAACTTAATACTGTCCAGTAGCATTGCAAGGGGCAAGGAGGGACACCATTGAGGGGAGGAGGGCTCGGGCCTGAGCCCAGAAGGGTGGAGAGACAGAGGAGAGAATGTCCCAGATAAGAGGGTAGGCGGCAGCCAGGAGGTTACAGGGCACAGGCCTGGCCAGCATAGGTCATTGCAAACCTAGGTTAGGGCAGGTTGTAAGGCATGCTCTGTTCCGTTAAGACTTTTGGCCACAAGGCCAAAATGTTTACCAGATTAGCTTTAACAGAAAAGCAGAGGTCACTGGGAGGGAGGTTTGGAATCCTGAGCTAGGCAAGGCTGCCAAACTTTAGAGAAGTCTAGAGCCTGGGGCTGTTGAGACAGGCAGCTTCTTCCTTCAGCCTCCTTCCTTGGTCCCACTGTTTGCTCAGGTCTTGCCTTTCTTGTACTTGATGGGAGCTGATACGGAACACACCCCTCCTCCAAAGCCCCTGGCTTTCATATCATCCGCTCATTATTATTTTTTTATTTTATTTTTATTCATTTGTTTTTCAAGACAAGGTTTCTCTGTGTAGCCCTGGCTATCCTGGAACTTGCTCTGTGGACCAGGCTGACCTTGAACTCACAGAGATCTGCCTGCCTCTGCCTCCTGAGTGCTGGGATTAAAGGCATGAGCCACCATCACCCAGCCATTATTTTTACTTTTATTTTGAGATTTTATTCACTTTTATTTTATACTTATATGTATGTGTTTTTCGGCTGCACGCATATCTGGGAACTATGTGGGTGCTTCGTGTCCTCTGAAACTGGAGTTAGAGACATCAGTGAGCTGCCATGCAAGTGCTGGGAACCGAACCCAGGTGGACCAATGGACATTTCTTTTAACTGCTGAGCCATCAGTCCAACCCGAGACTTTTTTGAGTGATCAAGTCCTGGCTCGGCGTGGTCAAACTAGCAGGGACTTTGTGCCCCAAGGCTTTGGGATGAGACATGCCATATATCTCCCTCCTGGAGTGATGGGGGTGGCACGGGACAGTGTTCAGAGGGAAGGTGCGTTCCTCCAGAGAGACTCTCAAGATCAAGATGAAGGCGGGCTTGGTGTGACCGATGTTTTATGCTGAGTTCGTGACCGACTTGGTGGGTTGCCAGGGTTGGGGTAGAGAGGCTGAAGACAGGAGGTTGGGTAATTAGGATCTGGTGTGTGTGACGCCAAGGAAATGCGGGCTCTAAAAACAAAGACTGGGACGGTATCTGGCATTCCTCTGGTCTTACCCCGGTTTCTCCACTGACAGACTGTCAGCCCTCTCTAGCCACTTGGACCATGATGCACAGCAAAGCACAGTCCCCAAACCCCCAGTGGGCGGAGACCAGTCTTACTAGGTGACAAATCTCAGGCCTGGTATGTGACTCATGCAGTATGGTCACGCCTGGCCTGGTGTATGCAGAGCCACTTGAAGGCCCAGAGGTGGGGCTGCTCGTGACGAAGTGGAATGCAGCAGCAGCAGCAGCCTCAGAACATCTGGCTAACAAGGCAGCCGGCTGAGCAGTAGAACTTGGGGTGGCCCCTGCTCTAGCCACCCGGTAGAACAACCAGGAAGAGCTGTAGAACATTCTCCTCTGAGGTTAAAACATTCCATCCTGCCGGGAAGCGCCTGGGGGGGGGGGGTAAACAACCAAAAATAATAGCTTCAAGAGATCCCTGAAACTGACCAAGTTCGCTAGGCCCCTCCCTGCCTGGCTAAACAGAGCCAAATTACAAAGAAGACTCTAAAGCCCGGAAGAGATTAGACCAACTGAGGCCCCTGGGAGGAGACTCTCCATCCAACTGTTGCACTGCCTGCAGACCATGCAGGCTCCAGGTACCCAGCTTTTGTGAACTGTCACCCGTGCCAGGGTGGGCTTTGGTCATGCAGCTGTCTGTGAGTCATTTCTGCTCCTCTGTGTGACCCTTCACCCATGTTCCTGTAAGTATCCCCAATAAAACTCACTGCTTCACAGAGCTGGACTTGGTTGGTATCCATAATTGGGTCTCTTGTGGGTCCCTAACTGGGGCTAGTAGGTGTGAGGCTGTGTCTCCCCAGGAAAATCTGTCACACAACAACTGCTAACCCAACTAGCCGGGCAATAGGCAGTCTGAGACTGGACTGGTGAGGGCCGGGTTCTGAGTCCAGTTCCTGCCCGAGCTTTCAAGGGAACACAAACATGCAGGCTTTGAACTCCTAAGCCTTTGTCTTCGACACTGCAGTTCCTGCTGCTGTCTCCACATCCTGCTGATTAGGGGGCTTGCATCAAATGCCAGGTTCAGAGCTGGGGTGAATGAATGGAGAGTGGGGGGAAGCTAGGCGCAGGGGCCCTCCCCTCTGAACATCTTCGCTCCCTGTAGCCCCACCACAGGACTCACTGTGTGACATGGACAGTCAGCTGGTCCCAGGATCCCAATCTGAGGAGTCCAGACCTGTGACAAGTCTGGGGAAGAGGGATTTCTGGATCCACGGAAACATGCTGGAGATGGTGGTGTCTCCTTCCCGAGGCCGGGAGAATCCTGATCTGCACCTGGGTCCACAATTTAATAATCTGAGGGAGTCCTTTCTCTAGAAGATCGGTCAGATTGGTCGAGAATTAGTGAACTCTCTCTTCACAAGGCCCCCAGTTCTTGCATGCCCAGCCTGGCTTCTCCTCGAGTCACTGATTGGTTGGTTGATCACCCTAGAGGACTTGTGTCCCAGGCTTCAATTCTAGACTTCTCTGTCAAATAGGCATTCCCATCCTATTTCATAGTTTGAGGAATGACATGACATACAGGAGCAAGTGTCAGGTACATCGTGAGTGCCCAACACACGTATTTGTCTAACTGATTTAATTGATGTCATACTGGCACTGCCGGGCAAAGGCGACAGCCTCTATTGGCACTTGATCCTCACAACCAGGTCTGCGAAGTTCTTAGTGAGACAGATGTGATATTGTCTCTTCTGATGGCGCGGATAGGGAAAGAGGGCGGTCATGTCTTGCATTTTCCGCGTCCTCCAGCAGAGGGGCGGCGGCGGGCTAGGCGTCCAGCAAAACAGCCGCTTTGATGCCCCTGGCGCGCGCGGCCGCGGGGAGGGGCGCTGGAGGCGGGCCGCCGGCGGGGCGGGGTGTGTCCGGCCGCGCGGTCCCTCCGCCCCTGGGTCCCATCGCCACACGCTGCCTAAACTCTGGACCAGACGCACTTTCCTCCCTGTTGTCCCTCGCCTTGTCCGGAGTCGGACGCACACCATGTCGGTCGCCGTCAGCAACAGGTTCCAAGGTAAGCGCCTGCTGTCCCCGCGCTGTCCGGCGCCCGGCGTCCCTGGGCTGCCACCTGTGCGCGCGGCACGGCACGCGCGGGAACTCGGAGGGGCGCGTGGCTCGGGAGGTCCCCTCGCTTCCCCGCCGCCTCTTTGTCTCCCGCAGGAGGAAAAGCGTTCGGCTTGCTCAAAGCCCAGCAGGAGAGGAGGCTGGCGGAGATCAACCGGGTAAGCCGCGCCAGCGCGGGGGTTGGGGGGGACAGCGTGCGGGGGCCCCTGCGTCGCACTATGCCACCCCATCCCCCCGCCCAGACAAAATAAGACCCTTCCTCCCCTATCCTTGGCCTTTCTCGGTTGCATCCCTGGCCCCTGCCGTGTGGCCTCCGAGTCCAGGTAAGTCCACTCCACCCCTTAGCTCTCTGCCTGGCGTCTCCGGTTGCAAGTTGTAACTCTCTGACCAGGGAGATGGGGCCGCTGAAGGAGCCCTGTTGCCAACCGGCAGGGTCTTCCCGGGAACCCGCTGGGGACCACCTAAGGGTTTTGGCGCCAGAAGGGCCCCCTGGGCTAGTGCTGTCTCCATGGACCACAGAACTTAACACTAAGGGTTAGTCGGGTTAGCAATGCTGGCATTTCTCTGTCGCCTCCCACCTCCAACCCCAACACACAGCTCTTTTCACCAGCTTTTAGAAAAGTTGCCCGAGGGACTGCTTTCTTTTTTTCCCTTTTCTTTTGCTGGTGCCGGGGAAGTTCTAGAAAGAAATCCTTCCGCTGCTGCCAGACACACAATAGCAGCTCCGTACGTTCGCTACTGAGCGTGTAGATCCCAGGAGATAAGGAACCGTGTCAGGGCCTCCTGGATTGGCAAAGCACAGAAGTGGCACAGCCTGTGGTTTTAGGGTTCAGACGTGACTGGTGTCTCAGTAAGGGCTTCTCACCTCGGGCAGGGTGGCTTTGTGGAAAGGAGCCGCCATGGTCTGGGGTCCAGTGCTAGGGAGACACCCCATGAGGGTATTGCAGGTTTTTTTCTCTTTCTTTCTTTCTTTCTTTTTTTTTTTTCTATACTGGATACTGTTCTCAGAACCTTCTCCATGCTAGGCAAGCACTTACAATTGAGTTATTAATTCATCAGAGGCAGAGGCCTGCCAAGTAATATAAGGCTAGGCATTTCCTCTTATTTGCCCCTTTGCTCCCCGGAGACCCAGAGTGACAGGCTCAGGGTCTGTCCCTGGTGGGGAGCTGGTAGGGTTTGTACACTGGGGGTCATTGGAGGTGCCGGGGACTGTGATCCTGTTGAATTGTTTTCTTCTTATTCCTTTCTTTATTTCTCCCTGTTCCTGTTCTTTATTTTCATGGACTGCCTAGACCTAGATCGTTTTCTCTTCCCATCCACCAGCTCCAGGAAGTCCCTGGAGGGCTCTGGGCCCTGTTACTACTACCCTTCCCTTGCCTCTTGGTGCTTGTCATAGAGCATGGCTTCAGGGGCTGTTGGCCATGTACATATGGCTTGGCTTGCGGCCCAGGCCTGATGGGCTTCTCCAAGGTCCCGAAGCACTACCCTAGCCTTGGCTGCTTTGCTTTCTGGATGGGAACCTGGGACCCTGACCTCATATAGCCCCATGGGCTGCTTGATTAGGCAGACTCTGAGCTAGCTGACTCCACCCACAGCCAACAGGACTCTAAACCAGGGACAGCTGGATGCAGGCATTAGGCGACCGTAGAGGAGTCAAAAGAACCGAGACTTTCCCACTTCCTGTGCTGATCCTGCCCTCGGAGATGCAGGTGGAGACTTGGAATGCGTGGGGTAGGTGAGATTGGTGGCCCAGACGGGGGAGCGGCTGTGGCCACCAGGGACTGATTTTCGACAGTGCTGGTGCCGCAGGAAGTGGGCAAGTGGGAGCTGGGATCTAACCGCCTCAGGACTTCAGGCACCCAGAGAGGGCAAGCAGCTGAACCAGGGCTGCCCAGGAGCCCCTGCTGCAGCTTGCAACCTAGGGCCTCTTTTCGGTTTTGAGAACTTCCACATGAGCTTGGGCTGCTAAAGGGCAGTAGTGTAATCCAGAGTGTGGGTCCCTAGAGGATTATGCGAGATGGCCGAGCTGATCCTGCATCACAACAGGCCAAGGTGACTGCACTATAGTCAGAGCCAGGAGGCAGGCTGCCAAGCACTGGCTCTGTGAGTTTCAGCAAGCTGCTTCACCTCTTTGCGCCTACTTTGCCAGCAAGAGATAATAGTAGTGATTTTTTTTTTTTTCACAGCCAGATGATATGTATGAAATGCAGAGCTGGCGGCTCTCCTGAGCATCATCATTTGTTTGTGTGAGGTCTTCAGGTATAGGGAGTGGGCATGGAGCTGTGCCAGGGACATACCAGCTGGGCCTGCCCCTTTTGAACCTCTGCTACAGTCAGCAGAGAAAGATAGACTCAGAGTTATGGGTGGCTCTGCTTGAGAGTCCCAGTCTGGTTGGCTCATGGCCATGGCTGCAGTGACATGTCCTCAGAATACACTAGTCTAGAGAGCTGTGCTGATAGTTCTCCATGGGAGTATATCTTCTCTGCTCTACCGAGTGTGGACTCTGAGGCACTGAGCTAGGCTGGGGTGAGCAGTGCCTGTCAGCCCCATAGAAATAAGAAAGCATACGGGTGTGACTTTGTGACTCGCTGTGTGGGGGTTGTATGACTGGACCACCTGTTGTGCCCGTGAGCATGGGCGCCACAGGCTGCTGTCTGGGGCAGAGCCCAGTTCTAGGGAGACTTTCTGGACCAACACTCCAGTTCCCCTTGGGGCTTTTCCCCTCCCCCCGTGGTGGCTTTTGTGAGTAGCAGGGTGGTTCATAAGGGAGTCAGGAGTCAAAGTTGAATACTCTGGTGGGCTAGAGGACTCCAAGGGGGAAAGGAGGCAGGGGAGCTACACACGATACAGCTTTTTAGGGGCTCACTTTAGCTTCTTCTTTAAAAAATTATTTTTAAATTTCCATTTAGTTATTAGTGTATATGTGTGTGCGCGCATGGCACACACGTAACATAGCCTGGAGATCAGGACAACTTGCAGGAGTCCATTCTCCCCTTCTATCGTGCGGGTCCCAGGGATTGAACTCAGGTCATCAGCAAGGCCCTTCACCTGTTGAGCCATCTCAAGAGCCCCACTTTGGTTTCTACTATCGTTCTCTGTCCCTTGAAATGTGCCAGCGCTGCACAGGCGTGTTTACTCCTCAGTCTGAACACGGTGTGGTGTAGGCACCAGCTTTCCCATTTTACCGACTACCAGGCTAGGGGAAATTGAGTTAATCGCTTGAGATTAAACAGTCACCATTTAGCCAGAGGTGGTGGTGTGTGCCTGTCATCAAAGCAGCTAGGAGGCTTCCTCAAGCAGGAGGGTTATGAGTCCCAAGGATTGCCTGTCTCAAACAAAACAAAACGAGGAGCCAGCCACGATGGAACTCAAAATGTACACACAATTTGCTTTAACCCTGTGCTTTGGTGACCCTTTTTGTGGATACCCAGCCCCCTTCTACACTCTGTGTGTACATGTCAGCACTACTGGAGCAAGCTGGACCAGGCGAGTGCCTCCTACTCCCTCCACATAGCTGGCATTCCCCACGCCCTGATGGCATGGTAGGTGACCCCAGGCCAGCCAGGCCCAGCCTTATATGGCAATGGGAGAAATTTCCTCTGTGTTCCCATAGGAACCCAGAGAAGCCGTGAGCCAGGCTGGGCTGCCTACCCCGTGGAGTGTCTGTGCCCTGGGGATGGTCTGAAGGAGCTGGGGGTGGGTTGGGGGTGGGGGTGACAGCTTGAGCCTGTGATTGGCTAGGATCTTTGAACACACACAAGGGTGTGAGTGTATCGACACCCCATGCCTGGTGTTCACTATGCATCAGCTCACAGATCCGCCTCAATGATGTGCTCCATCACGCGTGTGTCGGGTGTGCAGAGCAAACCCTGAGCATCCCTCTGGGGCAAGGATGATGAGACCCATCTTAGAGATGAGGAAATGAAATCACCTACCCAGGGGTACTCAGCCCAAGAAGGGGCAGAGGCAGGGTTCAGATGAGGGCTTCCGACTACAGACATCATCCCTGGCCTGCTCTGGCCCTAGTCCACCAGACAGCTGCAGCTTGGTGGTGTCCCAGGCCTCCCTTGCTTATGAAGGATAAGGATCTCTGGCTACTGTCCCCACCTCTCAGCTCTCTTGGGTCAAACGAAGGACACTCTACATTCCCTGTCCCGCTTAGGTGCCTAATGCTTATCTCAGTGCTCCTTTGCTACCTGGGAAGGAAGCTGGGGTGTAGGGAGATCTCTGTCCAGAGTGGCTGTTTCCTGACCTCTCTCCCAGCCACGTGGAGCCTTTGAGACTTGACCCAGGAGACTATGCTGGTGTGTCTTTTCCTGTGTCCCTGGCAGTACCGCTCTGTCCTTGCCGGTTGGCATTGAGGGCACCCGTCTCTCTTGCACTTCCCTTAATATATTATAAAGGAGATAGTGATAAGGGGTCACGTGGGCCTCTGGGGATTCAGTGTCCCCTGCAGGTCTGGCCAGTTGTGACCTTGGTGTGGCCATGTCACGGGCAGCTGGAGATGGAATTTCTGTGAGGTCTGCTTTATTCGTGGGGTGTTTTTCTTCAGCTGCCCCATCTGTTGGCGAGGACACTGTGTCCGGATAAAGGCCCCAGAAGGGTTCTGGGGAATGTGAGCCTGCTGTCTTTGTGGGTGCATGTTACAGGTTCCTGCTGCTAGCCAGGTGCCAGGCTGGGCATCTGTAGCCCTGGCCTGGCCCTTTGAGAGCCTGTGGGCTGTGTCAGAGACCACGGGATCCCAGCATGCTGCTGCCTGTCCTTGACACTCACAGGGCACCAGTCCACGGGCTGGCTTCTAGAATGGTGATAGGTGTTTACTCAAAAATTCTGCCCCAGTCTTTTCTTTTTATGGTGGTGCCGGCGATCAAACCCAGAGCCTCGTGCATTTAAGACTATAGTCTACTTAAATGATACTGTCCTGATGCAGCTGATATGTAAAGACAAGCCTGGAGGGTCAGAAACAAATGTACTCGTTCAGGAAGGGAGTTGAATCAGAACTATGGCAGGTGACTCCAGCATGGACCTGTCAGCCTTTGGTGCTTTTGAGTTTTTTGCTGTTTGGTTTTTGGCTTGTTTTTGAGGCATGGTCTCTTGTTCCCCAGGATAGCCTCAAACTTACTATATAGCCAAGGATAGCTGTGAGCTTCTGGTCCTC